TATGAAACCGATTAATCAAATTATATCAATTAATGCAAAGAAAAAGATTTGATTTTACTTCAAAAAAAAAAAAAAAAAAATTTAAGAATCTCTTTTATAATGAATTTTCAAAATATATAACAATAAAAGGATAGTTATAAGAAATTCAATATCAAAGATTTTTAAACCCTTGTTTTATTAGAACTTACGGATTATTCATACAGTATTATTATTACAGTATTTTACAATAGAATAATTTTAAGTTAAATAATTAAAGTTTCTATTAAAGTCATACACATATTCTACACGCGTCTTTTTTTTTTCTTTATTCATACAATGATAGTTTTTCTCTCTTTTTCGTTTTTTCGTTTACACAACAGCCTGTTAGGACATCTACAAAATGTTATTTTTCACGCGTTCATTTATATAATTTGAAATGCAAATACGCGCGTGATTTTACATAAGCAATATTTTATCGTTGATTCACTTTTAGCTTTGTGTAAAATATTAATGATTTACATTATTATTGATTTACACGCATAAATATAATGTAATTAGTGATCGATAAATGAAATGAATACTTAATAATTATAATTGGATAAACTACTTGATAATTTTAATAAAATTTTAATACAGATTATTTCAAACATTTATATGAACAGACAATATTTAAGTAAAAAAAATTAATGAAATTTTATTTTATTATGTTAAAATTTTTATCTGCTTTCGAAAAGATTTATTTAAAGAAGCGTTTATACATATGGCAGAACCAACGATGAAATAATGCTGATTGAAGCATTTAAAACTTCGTATTCGAATACTGAATATCTTGCTATAATTTTAGCGATTTCAGTTTGTCACGTATTATTGTCAGCTGGTAGCAAATCGGACAATTTTTGCTACCGCCATGCCATGAACAAAATCGATTAATATTGACTCTAGAGATTCGACGCCGCAATTGGTACAATAATACAACTGTATATACAACACTGGTAAAATGGCACGATTTGACAAAACAAATCAATCGTTTAATGTTAATACCATTATCGATAATTATTATTATATTAACAATAAACTTTGTACATGTGATTCGTTAAACGTCACGTGACACGACGTTTTAACGGCAGTATAAAAATGAAAACAAAATATACAAAATGTAACATAACATTGATAAAGTAATATAAAATGTTTCGTTACTGATGATACATGATGTTTTTTTAAATATATATTTTACAAAGAATGACGTTTATATAATTTCTAATGTACATTTTGGGTCAAATACAAATTTTGTAATGTGTATTATTTTTGCGATGATCAAATAATTACAAATAAATATTTATCATGTTAACCTTTTTTTTTTTATTTTAAGTAACAAGAGATTTTTAAAACGAGACACTATTATATAATTATTATAATTTATAGATGAATAATATTAATCAAGATAAAAAAATTAGCATATCAATCGGAAATAATCGGATCAAATTTAAGGAATTAAATCTAGTTATGAAGAGAGTAAAAATTAATATATCGTATATGTATAAGTAACGAAGATAATTGTAACTGATATGTTTCCAACAAATAATTATCGTCATTAGATTATTTTGTGAACAACACAATTTTATTCACAGCAGTTGATCAATTTTCATGATATACGATTCGTTATAATATCATCAGGTATTAAAGTTTCCAAAAATCTCATGATTTTCTTCAACAACGAATAACTATTTTATTTTGGAACGTAGGATTATTATTAAATCCAAAGTTTGTATGCTTTAAACGTGACAGTATGCAGTTATTGCAAATGTAGGCAGTTATCACTTCTCCGCTTAACGTCATCATACGCCAAAAAATGATCATCAATAACCATTTGTGAAATAATTTCTGATTTTCCATCTTATTAAGTCATTATCGTACACTTACAATCACATCAAAACAATACAATACAATAAATGTACAAACGGACGCGATCATACATCTTTTATCGACTTTCTATCAGCAGTACCAAGAATAGTATTGTCAAAATATACATAGAATCATCATATAGCTTTTTTTCTTGTTTTTTTTTTTTTTTTTTATTTATTTATTTACCTTTTTATTTTAATACGCTTACACAACGAGAATTAATGTACATCGTGTCTCTGAGAGAGTAAGTGGGCGAGAAAAAAAGTTCAAAGTTTCCAAAAGTCTCACACTCGCAGAAGCAATCCTGCAATTAGTACCAAAAGTGAAGGACTGACGGATCGTCGATTTAAATATCAACAAATTTGATTTATCCATTAATCATTTTCACGAGGAAATAAATCTCTTCAAACATTACAACATGATTTGGACAGATCTTGAATCTCACAAAAGTCAAGTTTCTAAAATACAATTTTTTCTTTTTTTTTATCTCTTCTAATTTCACTCGTCAAAGCATCCTTCTTCTCTTTACTACTCAAATTTGATAAAGAGTCATTGTACTCGAGTCGACAAATTGTTTACGATTATCATTACGCAAAGTCAAAATGTGCGTTCCTGTTTGTGATCTTTTGATTTAATTGATATAATTGTCGTCTTCTTCGTTGAAGAAAAATATGTTCTACTAAGATTGAAGAAGAATTTAACTCGAGTACAAATTATAGAATTCTCTTTTTTTTTTTTCTTTTTATTACATTATAATCTTTTAGTAGTAAAGATCAGAACGAAAAGCGTCCAATCATTATAGACGGATGATGGCACCAGCGAACGGGCTGTAATCTTAATAATCATGTTCTCTACGACGCAACAACGATGACAATGATAACATAACGTTAATAATAGTGCTATTGGCTTAACAACGATCGACAGTCACGATTCACCTTAAAATCGTTCAAGTGACTAGTTTCGCAGGCTTCCCACGGATCTTAGGCCAAACCACTGGGATAGGCCACTGTAATGGTCCTTCCGTCGAGGATTTGGAGTCCAGTGGAATATATCGAATGTACAATTATGTTACAGATCTTCAGCTAATAACCGGTGAATTTCGTTCACCGTAGAGATAAACAATTCAGAAACGGTGTCGTTTCATATAATCGACGTTTGCTAGGTCATCACCGTGTCGGTAAGGTCTTCCTTCAGCCATTGTGGGATAGTTCTCAACCCGAGCCGTTTCAATAATTTTACTAGGGCTGTGTTGTGGGATAAATAATATCTCTGCAAAGAGACAGATGGATTAAACCGATCCAATTTTTTTTTAATAAGTTTTATTATTATTATAAATACCTGTAATAATTTGTACGATTTATCCTCCATAGGCGGATATTGACGGCCTTTACTCTTGCCAAGGCATTTCGTTCGATCCTCGTTGGTAACTTGACAAAAGAATCCTTTCTTCGGATCGTACCTCAAATGAGACGAGTAATTGAAAGCGGGCGTGATCTTGAGGAACCTTTGTAACTCGTGCAACGTCTCTACAGGATTTTGTCGCAACTGTTCGCCGTCTATAATGTGCAATTGCTGAGGCGGATAATAGGAAAGCCATCTTTCCAGATGTTGAGCGTATTTTCCGGGATTTAAACATCTGTAACAGATTCGAACAATAATATTTGTCACGCATTCTTATCTTCTTATAATATAAACTTGGATCTTTGCTTATCTATGGCAACAAGATAATACTATTATTTATATTCAGAATTTTTTAGCGACTAGTTTTACTTTTTATTTGGGACAATCATAGGCGAGCACAGTGCTCGTTGTTACAACAAAATTATTCGAATAATTGTACGCTATTGTAACCCACCTATTCCTGAGATCGCGTAGGGGTTTTGGTGCTGTATCGCTTGCGGTGATAACCGAGTGAAAGGAATAATTATTCGCTACAGGATCGCCGTGAACTCTCGTGTGCTGGTACCATGAATAGGCACGCCTAGCGGGCGAAAGTAGTATAGTAATTAATTTTGCTCTGGGTAGAAGAGCGTGAGCTCTGCGTGGTACTAATTCCCCATCGAAATAAGTTGCAGATTTTTCGAACAGATACCGCGAACTCTCGTTTTTCGATGCTGGGAAGAAGCTCATGTACCTGGAGGATGGAACAGAATGACAAATAGATGTGGATTGATACGATTCGCGTGTTTGTTATGTTATATTAAATAACGTATCACGTCGAAATTAATGAACGTGTTAACTTCGTAATTTCACCTTAACTCACCAATCAAGGCCTTTGTAATAATTTTTTCCATTGAAGAACTGAATCTCCTCGAACGTGTCGGGACTTGGCAAATTGCTGCTTATCGCAGGATGAATGGAGAGGAAGGTGTAGAGAGCAGTGGTGCCGGTTTTTTGAGGACCAATTACCAGAAACCTTGGCAGTTGGTCGCACGTCTTGTTCCTCGACCAAATCTTTTGATGCCTCTGATCATCACAGGGATTCTTTAATACGAAAGAGAAGCTTAAATATTCGCAACTTAAAAAAAAGTTACTATACTCGATATAGCAGTGTAACGACAACTTACACCCCACACAGGATCAGATTCCTCGGGATAGAGTTGAAAATATCTTTCCGCTAACTGAAGAGGCGGTGCACTGGATAATCTCAAGTTCGTCCAACATTGGATGAATTTGATCACGGACTCGAAGGTGTACAATGCCAGACGATCGTTTCCATAATTCGACATGTGCGTCATAAAAATATTGATCTGAAAGAAATGGATGAACGCGTTAGAGAAAATTTTCTAAAACAAACACAGATAACACAGGTATTGGATTACCTACAGGATTGTGAACGATTGTCTGGAAGAGTTCGCCACCCTGTATCGATCTGTCCAGCTTCTCTCTTCCGCCTGGATATCTATCGATGAAGATCGTGTGTGTGAAAAGGCCACAGGTTTGTCTCGGTAGAACCTTGCACAGAAACAAAGAAAAGAGATTGTCACGCGTTTCGTTTTATCGTTTAATTCATCGGCTGTATAGAACTGTTCGCTCCAGGGAAATCAATCCTTTATTCTTCTTTATCGGCTCGACGCTTGTTTAACCTTGTCGAAAAATCCACAAAAGAAAGACTTTACTTAAAAAACGAAAAGACGTTTCGCTTGCAATTTTATCGGATTTTATGTCGTGTCGTTTATTCGCTGTATCAAGTCGAGCCAAGTTCGATTTTTATTCTCAACGAAGTTTCGAAGTATTCTTGTTCCTCGAGACAATGCGGATAAAAGTGTTGAAAAATTGATGGTGGTGGAAAATACGAAACTGTTGTGAGATTATCGATTCGTTTATTGCTTTAACTTGGTTTCCCAGCAGACAAGCAGTTAATGTCAAATAATTGACATTGTAGCAGAGAAATAGCTTAAAATGTACTTCTTTAATAAATATTGTAAAAGACTTATTATATACAAATAAATCTTGTCTATTGTAGTAGATTTTTTTTTTTATAAATTTTATATATAAATTGTTCTATAATATATATTATTGTTAAAAAATTTTAATTTTAAATGGATCTTTATTAATTAAATATTATTTTATTTCTTAAAAAATACTAAAAAAAAAAAAATTATAATCGATGTTAAAACAATGATTAAGAAAGATTTACCATTATATTACGATGAATAAATCCTCTTCTTAATCGAGCTGGCCTCAAATGGGGATACTCTTCTGTGCTCGTGACTTTGATGTTCCACACTCTTTTCCACGCTTCATATAGTCCTTCGTGGACCGGATAAACGCCGGAATGATGAGGACTTACGCTGTAACCGCTTCCTGTTGGGATTCCGTGGTCTTTCGCGAATTGTTTGTTCAACGCCATGTCTAATTGTAGATGCGTTACATTCTCGTAAAGGTGAGGTTGTTGATGATTCCACATGTGAGAAAACCACGTAAATCTGCAATTTAAAGAATGTTGGTTTTAATTTGAAGAAAAAAAAAAATATGTCGAGTAAAATTGATCTTTAAATCTTTCTAATTAAACGATTGGGAAAAAAAAATGGAGGCGAACAACTTTATCTGTTTGTTTCGTTTAATCAATGATCAAAGTGTGTATAATCGATTTTATGATTTTAATTGGTGTCGAGGAAACGAATTACTCGAACAAATCGCGACGATTCGCAAACAAGTGCAACTTTCGCGATCAACCGTAATACGTCAATTTGCGCCAATAGTAAATCTTTCTGCGCTCTGTTTACCATCCTATTCGCGCAACAACTTTCCGCCAATTCCATTTCCCTCATCACACGCGTCGTGAAATCCATTCACAAATCATTCTTAACTCGAGACCGTAGAAAGACGGATTAATCTTGTAAACATGCGATATTCATCTCTCGTCGTTTCACGTTCGACATTTTTTCGAAACAAATTACCTTAAACTGATCATTATCCAAATACTATAATAACTATAAGATTTTTCATCTTATCTGAAAACACGATTATTTCTTTTGTTATTTATCGATAACAAGATATTAAAAAAAAAATATATATATATATATACCTGTCGACGTTCTCCAGAAGCATATCGTCCCCCAGATTTTCCTCGGAGGTGCCGTGATGGAAATATTTTCCAGAAAACCCCAAGTTAAATTTGAAACCAGGCACCAACGCTTGGATCCTCTGTTGAGTAATCAACAGCGCCATCACGTCATCCTTTCTTAATCTCGTTCCCTTCTCACCGACGAATATATCATCGACGTCCACCAAGATCATGCGATTAAGGCTTAGGCTCAACTGGCCGTGGGACAAGTAGGAGAGAGAGTCGAGCAACAACAAGTTGTGTAGCCAGAATCGTAATCCTCCGCCGAAAAAGACTCTCTGAATCCCATCGTATCTCCCGTGATCCTGCATAATAAAAATCCAATCGTAGGTTCGTTAAAGTTTATCGCGTTTCAGTTTCATCAGACAGTGGATATGATATAATCTGATCTTTGTCGTCGTTTAACAGGCGACGTTCAATATATGTGTATATTTATATCTTTTTCTATATTTCGAAGAGAATGAAACGAGAATTAAACGAGACAGCTCGAAATAGCTCGTTTATCGAGAGTGTAAACTGATAACGAGTTCGAGGTATTTAATATATCGATCAAATTTCGCATAGGATAATCCTAGCGCATAAAGGGGTGAATAGTGAGGAAAAAATGGAGAGAAAGAAAGAGAGAGAAAAAAAAAATACACACTCATCGGAAGGAGGATTTCCGTGGAAATTAAGGCTCGATATTCAAGCGGATTTCGATCGTTCTCGGGTTTAAACGGGTTATGAGAGGGGCAACTGGAACGCTAATCTCCTTTTAATCGCTTTCAGGAGCGATATATTCGATTCGAATTGCGATTGTATCCTGGCATGATCGTTATTTTGAATAGAGAGATTTCACGTTTTATACGGTGGTGGAGTAAGCCTGATTTTTCGAATAAAAATTTTATCTCTGTTGAAATATATACAATTTGGTAAGAAGTAAATGTGTAAATAAGATTTGCATTAGTTCAAAATTATTGAAAAATCTGGACAGAGTTTATATGATATTCTTATTTCTGCGCTATCTGGATAATTAGAAAGGACGAATAATTAGAAAGAAGAAGTAAATAAAAATAAATATTTAAGAAATTAAAAAATTGCAAATCACAAATTGTCTCTTATAACAAATTCGAGATAGAATTATTTTTATTCAACCAGAACAACCTTCCATCGATCATCAAACCACGCTATTAAATCAGACTTTCTCGCGAAGAAACAGAGTTGCTCGAAGCTTTTCTCTTCTCCTTTCTCTCAACATAGTTCATCGACGTTGAAAACTTGATTAAAAAAATAAAGTCGACTATCGATCATCGCACGCGTCGATCGATGGTCCGTTATGTAAAGTGGGAATTGTTCATTGGCCGCAGTGAAATTATGGTGATCTCGTTCCACTTATTTTTCATCGAACGATTGCGTGCAACGTTAATGGGTTCGCGCGCGTTTGACGCGTTGATGCTTATCGATCGGCGCGTATATAAGGGCGCGTTAATTTCAAAAATGTTTTGCTTCGATATATTATAATAATGCCTTCCAACAACTCTATTTTCCTCGACGAACACGATACGTCTAAAAGCGATTTCCAAGAGAAAATCGCCATTTATGAAACACGACGCGTTTTTAAATTGTGATTATTTGTGGAATATTATTTGGTAAATCTTTATTTTTAACACGAGATGTAAATAAAGTGTAATGTAGAACAATTATTATTATTGCTCGTTGGAATATCCATATTGCAAATTGCGGTTTTAATTATTTTTCGAAAAGTATTATCTCTGTATCGATGATTCTTTAAATATAAAATATTAAAGATTTTACTTAGTGCACAAAAACGGTTTAAACTAATTTTAATCCGATTTATTTGCCAGATAATTGATGACCCTTCACGGTGGCCAAATTAAGAAAAGACTAGGTCAAACCTCAAATTCGAACAATCGGTTAACAATTAAAAGAGTTTTTATTTAATTCTGATTTGAAGTGAAATTAAACTTAGAATTAACATAAATTATATAATTGAGTTAAAATAAATTAGGTTTAATTGGATCAATGACAATTTGACAATTCGTTTTTTTTTATTGATATTAATAAATAATATTTTTAAAAAACAACGAGTTTTAATTTAATTATCTTCACAACAGTTTCAATGTGACGTGTTAAAAAATTATTAAAAATCGAAAATCGTGGTATCTTTTTATAAATATTTAATCAATTTTACGTTCAAGAAAGAAGAAAAATATAGAAGTTTGATTAAATGTATGTTTAGAATATATACAATTTTTATTCACAATACGAATGTGGATCTATATAGATATAATCCATATAGATAAAAACGATTGATATGGAAGATTAATTTTTAGATATCAAGAAATATAATAATCGACGTGTATATATATATATCAATTAAAATAAATTCCATTTTTTTAGAATTTTTCAATGTAACCAAACTTATCTACCGATCCAAGCAAATTAATCAGTTTGAATATTAATCTGTGGACGGAGAAATCGTCGTTCGAATGATCTGAATGGCCTGATTGGTTAGAAAAATTCTCCATTGAACGGAGAATCCGGTTTTCGAATCCAATGGAGGACGGAATTCGATTCTTTTCCCAACGATAAAAGCGAACATTTCCATCAATAATCTTCTTTTCACCAAATAAAGCGAACGTTTTATTAATCGAATTTCAAGCTCATTTGCTTCGAACGGCCATAAAGAAACTGTCGAGACTGTTGAAAAGATTCAATTCATCGGCGGCCTCGATATTTTTCCAAAAAAAAAAAAAAAAAAAGAAAAAGGGGAAAGAAACGAAGACGCTTTATGATCGATGGCCGAGATTTCGAATGGAATGGCTCGAAAATTCTGTGTTTCTCATTCTTTACGATGGTCCCTGTCGTTCATCAAGGATGTGGCGTTATCTCGAATTCTGGAATCGAAATAAATTGTCAGCACGAATAGCGACAAACGAACCCGGCCTTGCGTCGATGCTCATTAATCGAATGAACCAACGGCTGATTGGCTTCTGATTTAATTACCTGGCTACCTGTGATCCGTGAATCTCTGGCCTATCAGCCATGGCTATATAATGGGGTTATCAGCGAGATTATTATTGTTGTTTACTGCTAACAAGCTCTGTTCACGGCGAACGTTTCAAAACGCGGCCCGGCCAACTGAGAATTCCTGGTTGTAGTGCAATTAACAAATTGCTTGTTTGGGATTATCTTGAATCGACGACGAATGCGCGTATGAGGAGAAGTGTATACTCAACGATATAATCGACGAGTGCATCAGTTTTAGATAATTACAATTCATTGAATGTAATATTAATAAATGTTTTTTTTTAAAAACTTAATAAAAATTGAATATATAAATAATAAATAGTAGAATAGATAATTTTTCTATCTATGTATTTTATACAATTTAATATTTAATGCAATAATTATCTTATTTGATCTCTGAAATCGTTAAAAAAAAAAAGGAAATGTTAGATATCACAAAATATGTAAAAAATATATGAGACAGTTTCATTTCCTTTTGATAAATCAAGTTTTACATTTAGACAGAATATACAGAATTATCCAAGAATTTTCTCATTTCATTCCGTCGTAGAAAAGATTTATTATCACTAATAAAAATATTGTAACGTGCCATCAGATTTTTTTGATATAAATTTTACGTAGATAGAGATAATTGAACGATATATCTGCTTTCAACGATAATTTTATTTAACATCAAATGCTAAAATTCGTACAACAATTTCAAGAATGCTGTTTCCACCCGCAGAATTTCCACTGCCAAGATTCTAAATCTAAATATCCCTTGTTCGTACATTTCTAGGGTTGGCGGTCCCTAAATCTACTTACACCCGCCCCTAAATCTACGTGCTCAAGTGGCACGCAAATGGCACGATATCGCCGCGAAATTTATCACACGTGGAGGCACGATAGCGTTCAAAAATTAAAAAGAAGGAACAAGAAGAAAGGAGAAGCTCTTTTTCCTTTTTCTAATTTTTAACAAAAAAATTTCAACGGAAGCGAATCCATCGAGCATTCACGAATATGCAAAAAGCAGATGATATCACGTCTAAGCCGTCTGTTATATCAGATGAATATTTCCTGTTTGCATGGCGGCGAAGGTTCTTCGCGTCAAGAAGATTCGCTGTCTTCTTCGCGTTCGTATCTTTGCGCCGCTTTCATCCGGTACACGCTCAGCTTCCGGCCGAGCCTTTGCATCCTCGTGGAATCTCGCAATCGCGAATTCCAAAGCGAATGTAAAACGGCCCCAGTGAAACAGCTTTACGGATTGTACTCGAGGTCCTGCCTCTATCTCGCCCCTGCAATAACCTTTCCCCACCCTTCCTTAATTTTTTCCCTTCGTATTTTTATATACACGGTCCTCACAGCTCGTTTAATCTGTCCATTTTTCTTCTTCTTAATATCCCATCTCTGCCACACGTTTTCCATTCTCTGGCCAACGCTTTTATTTTCATCCTCACTTTTACCCCTATTTGCATTATTTCACGTTCATTCCCTCTCTACTGTTGTTCACAGTTGGCCACGGCTCCATTTCAACTTTATCTTCGGTTCATTCTCTCTCCTTCATCTTATTATTATATCTTTCTTTGCTCCACTTTATCGTTTAGTTTTTTCGTTCTTTATTCTGGCTTTTCTCTTCTCGCTTAGATGTTATTTAACATTAATTTTTACAATTTTTATAATCTGCTTCTTGTTTGTATTTGTGTTAAAATTTAAATTTTATTACTTGCTCCTTCTTCTTTCTCATCACTTTTCTTTCTCACTTTAAAAGATTATCCTTCGTTTCCCTTTTGTAATTTCTTTTTCTGGTTCATTAAATCTGTCCTTTTTTTATTTACTCCCTTATCGCATTCCAGCAGAATGTTATTCTTTTGCCGTTACTTTCGTTTATTCTCTTCATTCCTTCTGCATTACTCAGAACCACGTCCCCCCTCTTCTTCCATACTCGAAACACCATTTCTACTCTTACTTCTCCTCCAACTCTTCCATCTTCATTTTTAGTGGAAGAGATTCAAGAGATTCACATCGTTCGTGGAATGAAACTAGGGTGGTGTATACGCGTCTTCACATTTGTTTTCGTTCCCTCGGACTAACATTTCTTCAGAAAATAAGACTTCCGAGAGAAAGACTTCTCTTGTCTAAGAGAATAATTTCGCAGAGTTGTCTTTTGATATTTCGATTAATCTGCAACTATCTCATCGTATGGATTGATTTTATCGATATTATTAGTCTGAATATATTATAAAACGTTCTCAAAGTTTTTGAGAAAATTAATTTTGAAAATTATTATTAAAAATATTTAATCTAAAATTAAACCATCTCGTTTAGTATTTCTATATAATAAAATCTAACTTAAAAAAAAACAATTTATTATTATTATTATTATTTTTTGTTTAGTCTCAATAAATTTATTTTTGAATGAATTTCTATTTGAATTCATTCTTCATTTAATTTATAAAAATCCTCGAACAATCTTTCCAATTGAGATCTTTCTTTTCTTCTTGTATTAAAAAAAAATTCGAAAGAAATTTCACGACCAATCAAACGACGCATCATCCGTCGACCACTTTATCTCATTCTAATCTTCAAACTGACCGTGTTTTCGTCTCGTTCATCAAAGTTTATCACATTTCGTGCCATTGTCGCAAAATTTTAAAAAGACTCGTTCGAATTTTTTTCGATAAACACGGAAGAATTGCAAAAAAAAAAAAAACCAAGCGTACATATGTATATATATATGTGTGTGTGTGTGTGTGTGGACGCGGAATCGCATTTAATTAAACGAACGTAGCGATCACTTTGTACTTTTAACAATGCAGCTAATTAATTAATAATCCAAGTAAGAAGAGCGTTGTTCCTGTTCACTTCAGGTATCGAGATTCTACAAAGGGCGGACGTATTATTCGAGGGGGTTGGATAGGATCCTAACGCGTGCACATTTTTCCCAAGCAGCCGAGAAAACCGGGTGTATACGTCTCCTTTCGTAAGCTGTAATTAATATTCTTTGCAATTATGTTAGCGACTCAGATCCGACAAAGCGAGACACCGTCTGATAAAATTACAGGAGGAAGGAATGAGGGGGTGCAAGGAGCTTTGGTAACTGCGAAAAGAAAAGCGATAAACAGGAGGTGCGTTAATTAATTTGCTAATTAGGAAGGAACGGAAGTTGACGTTGCTCGATGCGAGCATTTGAGATCCCCTTGCTTTTGCGATTAAAGATGCCCGTTCCATGCTGTTTTTAATTTTGATCCTTAATTCGTATAATTTAATAGGAAATCGTTGGTATTATTCTTTAATTGAAAATTATACAGCAGAATTAATTTCTACTTACTTTTTAAATTCGACTCGCTATCGAGCAACTTCATATTGTTGCAACTTTTTCTTTTCGTTGAATTTAATAAAAATTACAAATTTTTTTTGGAATGATTGGAAAATTGAATCAATCCAAGTTTTCCCCCATTCCGATAATTTATTATTTTCCATCGTTCATTGCTAAATAGTATTATATTTTGACATTTTTTTTTAAATCAAATCTACTCAAACGTACAAAAATTAAGTTCAAAATCTCGACGACGAGGAATTGGAATTTTCTGAATGATAAATCTATCCTTTACTTGTTCTGTGATAAAAATATACAGCGTGAGTAAAATAGCAAACGAGGGTTTGCAAACTCATATTAAAATTCAATTTCGGTTCGGTAATAAGTGGAACACGAACTAATTTAATCGTCTTGTCTCTCTCTCTCTCTCTCTCTCTCTGAAATTTCTGCAATCTACGAGAGATCATATAACTTTAGTTATTCCAAGAGCTGTTCACGTTTCATTACGTAATTAATCCGGGTTCCAATTCTGATTGGAACACGCGAAGTAGAAAGATATGGGCGAAAAAGCGGGATGTCTCACCTGAATGACAGTCGCCAGAGGACTTTTATTGGCCGGATAGTCGAGGCTGTCCCGATGTGCCCATGCCAGGGGTTCGTAGGTGCTGTGATTGGCCTGAAAAATGGTCCAGTCACCGCCAGGAAGTGGTCCCCAGGCCGTTTCTCCGGATCTGGTTAATCGGAGGATAGGAGACGCCGCGTTCAGTTGTGCATCCTGAGGGAGGAAAGACCGATCTCATTTTGTCAGCAATTCGAGAACTTGTTGCCTATACGTGGCTACTTTTTTCCTGATTTTATTTTTTTCTTCTCTCAATTTTAAGAGGAAAGAATAGGAATCGAAAATCCCTATTCGTAGTATAAAATTATTCGTTATAAACATTCTGATAATATTTTATTACACGTCTGATTTAAATTATTTTAGTATTCATGTTTTTAAAAAATTTTTGATTATTTATTGAGATGTTTTATTCGCAGAAAGATTGATCTTTCTGCCTTTTTTAAACATGAAATATACATATCTTTGTTACAAAAATGTCTCTTCTTACGTTTTGTCAAATCCATTAACATAGATCTTCATTTTGTAATTGTTGCATAGTAATTTATTAAACGATTCCTCTAAATTAGTTGAACATGTATAGCTTCATATGTTATTATTTGATTGAAAAAAGAAAAGACAAGCGTTACGTTTCCCTTTTTTTTTATTTTTCTTTATCGATGAAGAGACAAAACTGAAAATGGTAAAATCGAAGGGATGCGAAGTTGAACATACGTTATTTAAAATTCGAATAATCAAAAAAATAATTATTAATCTTTTCATTTTATTGATGTTTGCAATGTATCAATTTGATGTAAAGAGATATATTATTGTTGTGAAAATGAACTATGAATGAGGATTAAATTCATTTTTAAAAAATTCAATAATAATCGAAGTAATAATTAATAATTTGGTGCAGATTCAAGGATACTTGATACTTGTGTTATTTTTTAATATCGATTATCCCATTCTTTTATATATTTTAAATGAATTATAATACTCGTTTAAAAAGCATTTAATAATATCGCATACGAATAAAGCCGCCATTGATAAATCTGATGGAATCTTTAAAAGTTTGTGTATATATATTTTTTATAAATTCATTTCTAATATAGATTAATATTAAACGTTAGAGTAGCAATAAATAAAACGCGATTGCAAAATTCTGTTGAAGTGGTTATTAAGAGATAGATAAGATAATCCGTAAAGTAGAATAACATCATCAGACAACTATATAAATCGCACGTATCTACTTTACTTACGGAAATATATTCCCTGTCTGTTAAAATACTTTATTAAAATCGATGCATTTCGTTAAATTTTTAAGATATATAAATTTTTGAAAGATCGATATCACAATTCGCTCTATTGTCAGCTTTAATTTTGTAGAAATAGATCACAATAAACAATACAACTAAAATTTTGTTCATGTAAGAAAAATACGTTTAATTCAATATTGATTTTAAAGTTAGAAATAATTATTGCCATAATAAAAAGTTTTTTTAAAATTAAATATATTTTCAATATATGCTGGCCAATTAGAACAATTCGCAATTTTCAATATTTTTTTATGTTTTTAATAAAATTTAAAGGCCAATTCGAAATTTAATTGTAAATTTTATTATTAATGTATTACGATCATAACATCTTGTTTTCTACTATATTTTAGCTAAGCACTTCTCCACGAGGATATGAATCCAGAGAATAAGAATATCTGGAATCTGCTTAAATAAATAGTTTCAAAAAAAAAAAAGAAAAAAAATTCTGGATATTTGGCAACATCATTCAAAAATAAAAAATAAAAGACAGTGATATATATGTTTTTATCATATACATACGCTATAATCAAAATGAAGAAATAAAAAAATATAAGAGGAAAATTATTATTAATATAGGTGTGTATGCGAATGTTTTAGTAAATAAACAAAAAACGTTAATTAACAAAACTACAATTAACAGAAATTAAATATCGTCCAGGCCGATAAATTTTATCGAAAATATGCTGAAAATTGTGAAAACGATCCTAATTTTTTCAACCAGCATATGTAAATAGTTCCATTACGATGACATGTATCTTTAATTAAATCAATGGATACCAATTCATTAATTTATTTTCTACATTAACAAGGTTTCATTTTGCTATTACGAAAACCAATGTGCATATCACTGTACAACTTTGTTACAACTTTCAAAGCGAAAAAGAAGAAAAAAAAAAAAAAAAAGAAAGAAAGAAACAAGGACACGGCACAGATTTACAATTTTATTCAAGCCAATCAACACAGTGTGTCACAGTAACGTCGAAAGAAAGGAGGAAAATCGCCGCGTATTGCCTATCGGTAATCGTGCAGACACGCACGATTTCATGCCGCATGCAAATTGATTCACCGTGGCAACCTTTTCCCGCGAACCGGTAAACCGTTTCGGGGGAGGGGGCACACACGTTTGTCGTATTGCGAATAACGGATCGATGCTTTTATTACACCGATGCTCTCTCTCTCTCTCTTTCAAAGTTTTCTGGTTGCAATTTTTCCACGGGGATAAACTTGAAGATCGTTTCGTCACAGAAGTGGAACGGAGATTGCCAATACTCGTTTCGCGATTCTGTCCGCTCGTTTTGGACAACAACAACCGCTATCCCGATTCAAAACATTATCAACCGCTATGACGAAATTTATTTACCGACAGCCAATAAAAAACCACGGCGATCTGTGAATGTGTTTCACACTTGAGAAAATTGTGAAATCGTTGACTCGTCTTGTTTCGATCTTTGCTTATAATTATAAATTTTAATTTCTTCTTTGTTCGGTTATTTTTTCTTTTTTTTTTTTTTTGTCTTTATTATTTCAAGAGATTCCGTGTAAATGCGAGGGAAGGAGATTGACAGGAGAGAAAATTCGAAAATGTTATAGGTCCTTACCCAAAAACAGGTTGACTGGTTGACTGAGAAAAAGGAAGGCTTCTCCTTGGGGGAGGGGGGGGGGGGATAGGTCAAAAGATATGGAAATCGTTAAGGAGAATCCAGCGGGATATTTAACTGTGTATTCAAATTATAGATTAGTTATTTTGCAAGTCGAGTCTTTTAAAATAACTAGGTTTTTTTTTTTTTTTACAATAAAATGCACTATGACTTTTATCAAATTAATTTTTACATTTATTATTTATATTATTATTATTCATTTCTAGGATTAATTCTATGCAATTGCGTGATGTATATAATTCGCAGTAATTTCTAATATTTAATTTATTTTTTCCAACGAACCTTCAGCCTGAGATTAGTATGCACGAACAAAGGAAAACCCTTCAGCTGTGCACCGACCAGACTTTCCTCGCCGGACGGCGCGAATCCCACGATGCCGACCGAATACTCTCTGCAATATTTGTCTAGCAATTCGCGATTCCACTTGTCCATTTGCAGGTACTTGTTCAGATTCTCAAAGATTAAGACACCGTATCGACCTTTGTCCAAGTTTGTCAACACGGGTAGAGACTTGCCAGCCACTTCCAGTTTGTACCTGAAATTATATTTCATTTATCTTTAATCCATTTCATCGTCCAATTTTAATCTTCTACGCGATATTTAATCATAATTATAAAATTTGATAAAAGACTAGATACCCTATTATAAAATTAATTTAAGATATTATATAAATAATTAAACGTTGAATCATTAAAATTAAATAATATTTATCAATTTGATAATCAGCGATAAGAAATTTATAGAAATAAATTTAAATTAATAATATTTTATAAAATATAAATTCAAGTCAAAATGCAGTATATTTAAGGTATTAAAAAATGAATTTCGATAGATTAAATTTTTGGATAATTTATTTTAATATAAATTTGAAAAAGGATTTAAAAGTAAATCGAAATAATTATTTTAATCGAAGATCGTTCTAAAGAGTGTACAGAGATACGATAAACAAGCCGATAAACGCAACTTTCATTCTCCATTTTTCCATCGACTCGTCGCGAATAATTTCAAGAGGATCGATCAATAAAGTAAATATAGAAAAATTCCGAGCGAATCAAAACGAAAAAAAAAAAAAAAAGAAAAAAAAGGAATTTACAAAGCTTTTAATATCCGCGTGTCAACTCAATGCTCAAAGGTTTCGAAGCGATCCTCGTTTTAAACTTCTTATTTGCCTCGTGCGATAAAGCAAGGATCGCCTCGAAGTTAACGCGTTCCTCGAAACGGAATAAACGGTTCGCTCCCTTTACGCCACCCCCCCTCTCACTCTTCGATCCGCGTCATCAATTTGATCGGCGCGAACCGTTCCCCATCGACGAATATTTAGTCGATCCGCGGGGCAACGGCCTTCCCCGATACTCGTTACGGCAATTTCAATCCGCCTCGATGACTGGTGTATCGGTTATTTAAAACAAGGACATGGGAGGGAGGAAGGTAATAAATACGAGGGGAGTGAAAAAAAGAAGAAAAAAAAAATGGAATATCGATGGAAAGAAGGGGCGCAACGAGCCAGAATCGTTATTGTTAAACGATAAAACAGGGACACTTTTATCGAAATCCCATTTACGGCGGCATCTGAAACGATTTCGAGAATAATAAAGCAATTACACAGGTATAATGCACCTTTACGTTTTTGCCGCTGGTTATCTTCCTATCTTTCCGTATTTTCCTTTCCTTTCTTTCTTTCCTTCCTTTTTCCGTTGCTTTTCCTCGATTTTTTAATAACATTCGAATCCCATCCCTACTCGATGTTCCGATAGAATATCAGAATTTTTATTCGAGCACGCCTGCTTTTTATCCGCGCCGCCGCCCGATAAAACGACTTTATCGTCGAAATAAACCCCCGCCGATCAGGATTTTCCGAGGTGTTTCGCGAAGAATGCGACAGGGGCTTTCGAATTTATTGGAAACGCGTGGGCGACAGTTTACGATAAAAGATCACCAACGATATCAATGATGAATAGCAGGAACGTATGAATTGTACTCGGCCTGACAGGCTTGAAAATTATTAGCGATGTACAATTATTTCTCGTTAGATAGTCGACGAAACGAATGTATATATATATATTTCTTTTAATAAATTTCAAGAATTTAAAGATCGTCGAGTACACGTATTCGTTATCTTAAGATCAAGTTGAAACTTAAATTCTTATTTAACATTAAAACATAAGTAATAAATGTTGTTCTTGGAGGAACGTAGCACGCATTTCCAAGATAAATATTTAGAACGCGACAAAGCAAACGACGATTTAACTTAAAAAGCGATATTTTTTGTGAATAAAGTATTTAACTTTTCGTATAAAATGTTCGAAGCGTGATTACTATGATTTGATATGGAAGAAGATAATGTTTGAAATCGTTTACTACATTCAATTGTAGTAAACTTTAATTCAATTTAAAAGTAATCGAAGCCAAAACTTTGAAACATGAGACAGATGTTTCTGAACGCATCATTTTAATGCAAAGCGTTTCTTGTTGTTTATCAGAATGATCCACTCTCCCGATATTTCGATCGATTGAAACGATCTTTCAAGAATACTTAATAATCACACCTCAATTATTATATAAGCGTTAAAGAATACTAAAAAAAAAAAAAAAAATTCTTAATCAACAGAGAATCGTAGTTTATATCCCATTCTAACAATTCCATTCAAAAGCAACCATCTATCACGTTCCCTGGCCGAAGATTTTATCCGTGGAACAAGTTAACTCGTATTACTTATGCGATGGATAATATAATAACAAAAAAAAAAAAAAAGAAAAAAAGAAAGCTTATTGTTTCACAGATTAAACTTAATCGCAAGAAATTCATCCGTACACCCTGCAATCACTATATAGCTCCTCCCCTCTCCTAATTAACCCATAAACCTGTTATTAAAACGAGCAAATCAGATTACCATTCACAACCTTCCCGTTCAACAATCTTCAAACCAACTTGTTGTACCCTTTTTCAAACTTAACACGCGTTAACCTTATCGCTCGTCCACCCAGACGTCCCCCCCTCCCCCCAAACCGTTCACTCGACCAGGAATAAAACGTTCGAGCAACAGTTTTATAACGAGCCGTTGGCGAGAAACTCGTCGTGAAACTCGTCGTAATTTCGCGCGAATTAAGCAGGCCGGACAGGCGACGCCAATTGCTATCAACAGTTTACGGGGGTCGGGCGCGTGTTCGCGTGTCGTGTTGGAAGAAAATTGCAGTTGACTAATGAATGAATGCCGGATAATTCAGCGTTCGTAATCGGTTCGATAATTGGCAACCGCCCATTAACGACAGCCCGACAATTTGCCGAGTTAACGAACTGTCATAACGAACTCCGACGTGGCTCTTTTGTTCTTTGGCCGGCAATTGCCGCGCGAGCCAATTCCCGGACGTATGCTCGAAACGCGTGCACCGCGCCAACCCTTGCCAAGGTATCCTCCGAGAGAGGGAGAGAGGGGAGATATTTCAAAGGCGACGGATCGATCGGATCCTTCCTATTGAAAAACGAACGGCCGCAATTAGGAGTGTTTCGCGTGTTTCGGTGGGTATCGGTCGAGCATCGAGGAAGATTATGGGCGGTGGGTTTGTTTCTATGCTAGTTATCGAGCGGAATAATTGCTTCCACTTCTTTGAATGGAGAGAGGCGGTTGGTAGGTTGGTTGACCTGTAAAAGGAACTTACTTTTAGGTAGTTTTGATGGATGCTTCGTATCGTGCAGAATAACGTGTCGAGATTTCAAGTTTATTATTCGAAGCATCGAATAATGTACGATGTAAGATAACTATGAATTATAAGCATTTTAAATGAGGAATATCATTCAAAATTTTAATTAGTTACTTTTTCAAGCTTTCTTTGTGAGACAAGAAATGAAGAAATATAGAATAAAATTTTCTCATTCGAGACTTTTATATTTCAAGATTGTCGAGTTCGATATCTATTGCGTATCCATAATCACGTCTGTGTGAAACACAATGTCGATTTTATTTGTAAACAATACTTTAAGGATTCTAGATACATTTTATTAATAGTAGTAAAAATGATATTCTTTTCTTCCGATACAATTGTGTTTTTCTATTAATTAGATGATCTATGTTTTGAATATGTTTTCGAACGAAATATTGTTGTTTGCAACAGGGATTATAAGAAAAAACATATTTCAGTCAGAATATGTATACTCGATGTAAGTGATAAAAATTTTAATTTTGAGGGAATGATATAAATAGCGAATGCGTGCGAATGTAATCATAAGAATTCTCAATTTTTGAATCAAAGTTATAGAAAATAATTGATGAAAGTGTATATTCTTAGTTATTATTTTAATAACGTAACAAAAATTTGAAAAATTTCAGAATTCAGACATAGAAAAGTCTTAAAATTCGTTTTAGTAATCAAGGCATGTTTCAATTATCATTAACAAAATTAATACGTAGGAAGCATAATTGAATATCGTAAAAAACACAAAGAATTTCGTTAATTTATCTCCGGTACAAGTTGAATTTAATTGAATTTATCCATTGGTCCTCTTAATGATATTCCATACCATTTGTAACGTTCCCGGGGTTATTCAAAGATGGAAATTTTTTTTTTACATATTCACAATGCAAATTATTAAGACGATTCTCATTATTTATCGAAACCTATATTATTTTAAACATCAGCTGGAATTAACTGAATCGAACGCACTATCAATTAACGATGTTACGAGGGAACGGTAATTTAATTTTCGTTTGAAGGAAAAAAAGAAGAAAAAAAAAAAAATCGATATTATGTGACGATCCCTCGAATAAAAAAAAAAAAATCTTTCGATTAAAAAACACGGAGAATCAAGGACGAGGCTCTTGTTCGTAATCATCGTTGCATTTTATATTTCAAAACTCGTCTTGTTACCTTTCCCGGGAATAAAATACGTTGTTAAATGTAAATATTTAATCACTCGAATTAATACGTTCTGCATGAATTAAAAATCCATTCTGGAATTGCTGGCGGTATTATAATTCTTTCCATTTCCCGATCAACCTATTGATACATTCCATGTGAAATGTTACACATTTTCCCTGATGATTTGAGTGAATCGATAAGCACTTTGTCGAAGTTTCATATTTCTTTCTTGTTTGTAATTGAAATGAATCCAAGTATAATATCCAAACATTTCATGGAATATTTCATTCTATCCTTTATCTCTATAAAAGTAATTTCAATCAAATTGGTAATTGATAAAAATATACCAAATATAATAAAATGTGTTTTATTACTAAAATACACCAATATTTATTTATTTTTTTTTATTAATTCTTTTTAATAACTTTTTAGAAGCTTAATTGCTGTAATTATTCACGATTACTTATAAGAAGGTATTAAATCTTGATTATCTATAAAACAACTCGAGAAAAACTACTCGAGGGAAAATTTTTATTCTTCTTATGAAAACGTAAAGGATGAGGTATCATTCCGCATCTACAATTTAATTGGAAAATATAATAGAAACGTTGAAGAAGCTTGTCTGGAAATGGTCGCCGACTGAAAGATATTCTCTCGTGATACGTTCGAGTCAAGGTATAT